GAGCCATTTTGGGCAAGTTTGGGGGCCTAGTGGACATTCCTGGAGGTATCCCGAGCCACCTTTGACAGCAAGCGTTGGTTGCCTGCCCCTGGCCGCCATTGAATTAAGGAAGGAAGAGACACACAGACACAATGAATCGTCGATTCCTCAGAAAATATAGGAAAATATGGCAAGTGGGGGGGGGACAAACACCCAGAGAATATGTGAAAATATGGGGAATCCTGCTATTTCCCACATGTTTCGTGGGGTTACGGTTTTTTCCCTGCCGCGCCGCACCCGCGTCTCACACCTCCCCCCTCCCCTTCTCTCGCACCAGAACGGGTGTGCAGGGGGGTGGTCCCTGAGCTCGGCAGGCGTGGCATTTCCTCGACGCCACAAGGGGGTGCGCTGGGGGTGGGGGCCCTCTGCGTTTCGGTCTCGCAGAGCGTGGCAAGCGTGGCATTTCCTCGACGCCACAGGGGGTGCGCTGGGGGTGGGGGCCCTATGCGTTTCGGTCCGCAAAGCGTGGCAGGCGTGGCATTTCCTCGACGCCACAGGGTTTGCGCTGGGGGTGGGGGCCCGCCGCGGTTTCTATACTTGCCAATGCCGCAGTGCAGCAGAAGTGGCATTTCCTCGACGCCACAGGGGGTGCGCTGGGGGTGGGGGCCCACCGCGGTCTCTATACACGCCAATGTCGCAGGGCCTAGCAGGCGTGGCATTTCCTCGACGCCACAGGGGGTGCGCTGGGGGTGGGGGCCCACCGCGGTCTCTATACGCGCCAATGTCGCAGGGCCTAGCAGGAGTGGCGTATCCTCGACGCCACAGGGGGTGCGTTGGGGGTGGGCGCCCACCGCGGTCTCTATACGCGCCAATGTCGCAGGGCCTAGCAGGAGTGGCATTTCCTCGACACCACCGGGGGTGCGCTGGGGGTGGGGGCCCACCGCGGTCTCTATACGCGCCAATGTCGTAGGGCCTAGCAGGAGTGGCGTTTCCTCGACGCCACAGGGGGTGCGCTGGGGTGGGGGCCCACCGCGGTTTCTATACGCGCCAATGTCGCAGGGCCTAGCAGGAGTGGCAGTTCCTCGACGCCACAAGGTGTGCGCTAGGGGTGGGGGCCCACCGCGGTCTCTATACGCGCCAATGTTGCAGGGCCTAGCAGGAGTGGCATTTCCTCGACGCCAAAGGGGGGGCGCTGGGGGTGGGGGCCCACCGCGGTCTCTATACGCGCCAATGTCGCAGGGCCTAGCAGGAGTGGCATTTCCTCGACGCCACGGGGGGTGCGCTGGGGGTGGGGGCCCACTGCGGTCTCTATACGCGCCAATGTCGCAGGGCCTAGCAGGAGTGGCGTATCCTCGACGCCACAGGGGGTGCGCTGTGGGTGGGGGCCCACCGCGGTCTCTATACGTGCCAATGTCGCAGGGCCTAGCAGGCGTGGCATTTCCTCGACACTGGAAGGGTGCGCTGCAGGCTCCCAGGGCGCGGCAGGCGTGGCATTTTTTCGACGCCACAGGGGGTGCGCTGGGGGTGGGGGCCCTGTGCGCTGCAGGCTCCCAAGGCGTGGCAGGCGTGGCATTTCCTCGACGCCACAGGGGGCTTGACAGCAGAGAGGGTACGTAGGTAGCGTAGCAGCCTTGACATTTTCTGGAGTGTATATCTCAGGCGTGTATGCGGCAGAAGTATTCTCAGCAAGGTTAATTGTAGACACCTCGGCTCAAGCAGGCTCAAAGACAGCAGGCACCCACAGGCATGCCCCCAAAATGTGCAGTGGCCGAATTGCCACCTCCGTGCACCATTCTCTTGAACCGGATGGTCCAGGTTGGTTGGCCTGGTTGGCTCGTGTGGTTAGTCCGGCTGATTCTGGCTGCGGTTGTTGGCATGACTAATATTGGTGGTCCCCAACCGTGGTGGTGAGAACACCCGGTGGTGAGTTTTGGGCGATTTGGGTAATAGTTTTCGAGCGCTGGCTGGCCCAGGAAACGCACAACCTCGTGGCGACCGCGTGTCCCCAAACCCGGTGGTGACCCAGAATTGTGTTTTGGGGGAATCGGGGTCACCACCGGGTGCCTCACCACCTGGTTTGGAGACCACCAATAATATGGTTGGTCTGGCTGGTCTGCTTGATTGGCCTGGCTGGCTTGTCTGATTACTTTGGCTGGTTATGGCTGGAACGAATGATCTGGCTGGTCTGGTCAGTCTGGCTGATCTGGCTGGTCTGGTCAGTCTCTCGTCAGGATGGCGAAGCGAGATGTGACATGGTTTGTGAACACACGTGGCATAAAATAAGTATGTGGGGTTCCTCGGTAGCGTAATTAATCGCTTCTCTCATTCCGCCGGCCCTGGAGCGCTATTTGGGGCCTCTTGGGGCCGTCTTGGGGCTTCTTGGGGGCTTCTTGGGAGCGTCTTTGGGCTCCTTGGCAGCGTATTGGGCTCCCCTGGGGCCTCTTAGGGGGCTCTTGGGGGGCCCCTTGGGGCGGGGGGGGGGGGGAAGTCGATTGTAGCCCCCCCCTCGGAGGCCACGATCCCCGTGAGGGGTGGGGAAACATCGCCTCCCCCCCGGGGTCGCCCAGGACCCAGCCGGGGATCGGCCGGGGTACTTTTCGTCCAGGGCCCCTCAGGGGCCGCCCCGCGCGCGCGAACTAGAAATATTGTTAAGTAGTTACCGGAGATCTTAGCACGCCTCTGGCCCGTTGGGCCGGCGAGTTTGTGTATATTTATTTGTGTGTCCCAGGGCCCCTTCACGGATCCATCGCGTTTTATCGGCAATCGTGGCCTCGGGAGCGCAGGCTCCGTGTTCTTGGCTCGGAGTCGTGGCCTCGGGAAGGGGGGGCGATGCATGCTTCTGTCTGCGAGCAGGCGGGGAGGGTTTTTTTGGTGGGTGGAAAATGCAATTTTAGCAGCCATCGTGGCCTCGGGAGCGCGGGTCCAGTGCTTTTGGCTCGGAGCGTGGCTTCGGGAAGGGGGGGCGATGCATGCCACTGTCAGCATCGTTTGAACGATCCCCATCCCTATTCCCATCCCCTTCGAGACCCCACCAAATTGCCGCCCCAGTTGGGGATGCACCCCTGGAAGCCCGAAGGGAAGGACCTATATCCCCATCTAAGGTGGTAAATCGGCCAGTGGGGCCCAGGCCACGCCGCTGGGGTTGGGGAACGGTTTCACGATACTCACCCTGTCTGCGAGTAGACGGGGAGCGTTTTTTTTGTTTGTGGAAAATGCAGTAAGCATATCGGTCAGCCCTTCGCATGCTGCCACGCCGCAGCGTGCTATAGCAGATAGATGTTGTTGTGTCGAAAGCGGGACGCCAGAAAACCAAGGATCACCCGGATATTGGTAAGGCCTTACGGCCAGTGCCGCCGACCTTGGATACTTCGGCCTTCGAGGGTGACGGGATGCGTGATAAGACGTCGGACTTAAATGAAGACGTAGCGGAGGAGGAGGAGGAGGAGGAGGAGGAGGAGGAGGAGGAGGAGAGGAGAGAGAGGAGGGAGAGGAGGAGGAGGAGGAGGAGGGGAAGGAGAAGGGGGAGGGGGAGGGGGAGGGGGAGGAGGAGGAGGAGGAGGAGGAGGAGGAGGAGGAGGAGGAGGAGAGAGGAGAGGAGAGGAGGAGGAGGAGGAGGAGAGGAGGAGGAGGATGAGGAGGAGGAGAGGAGGAGGAGGAGGAGGAGGAGGAGGAGGAGTAGGAGGAGAGGAGGATGAGGAGGAGAGGAGGAGGAGGAGGAGGAGGAGGAGGAGGAGGAGGAGGAGAGGAGGAGAGGAGGAGAGGAGGAGGATGGAGGAGGAGGAGGAGGATGAGGAGGAGGAGGAGGAGAGGAGTAGGAGGAGGGGGGGGAGGGGGAGGGCGGGGGAGGGGGAGGGGAGGGGGAGGGGGAGGGGGAGGGGGAGGGGGAGGGGGAGGGGCAGGGGGAGGGAGGAGAGAGGAGGAGGAGGAGGAGGAGGAGAGGATGAGGAGAGGAGGAGGAGGAGGAGGAGGAGTAGAAGGAGGAGGAAGGAGGAGGAGGAGGAGGAGGAGGAGGAGGAAGGAGGAGGAGGAGGAGGAGAGGAGGAGGAGGAGGAGGGAAGAGGAGGAGAGGAGGAGGAGGAGAGAGGAGGAGGAGAGGAGGAGAGGAGGAGGAGGAGGAGGAGGAGGGGGGGAGGAGGAGGAGGAGAGGAGGAGGAGGAGGAGGGGGAGGAGGAGGAGGAGGAGCAGGAGAGAGGAGGAGGAGGAGGAGGAGAGAGATGAGGAGGAGGAGGAGGAGGAGGAGGAGGAGGAGGAGGAGGAGAGGAGGAGGAGGGAGGAGGAGGAGCGATGAGGTGAGTAGGAGGATGAGGAGGAGGAGGAGGAGAGGAGGAGGAGGAGGAGGAAGGAGGAGGAGGAGGAGGAGGAGGAAGGAGAGGGGGGGGAGGGGAGGGAGGGGGAGAGGGCCCCCTCCCTCCCCCGGTTGAGAGGGTATGGAGGGGCTTCGCCACGACTACGATTCCCTTATGTTTCGTGTTCGACTTCTTTTTATTTTGGGCGACGACGGTGACGACGACGACGACGACGACGACGACGACGACGACGACGACGACGACGACGACGGTGATCTACGCAAGACGACGACACCGGGATGCGTCTTCCACACGCCGACAGGGTCGGCGGATTTGGGGCCAGGCGGCCGAGGTATGCTGTTCATCATGGTGCCGTGGTAGAGGACTCGAGGTAGTAAACCTACGGACTACAATGGACACGTGCGGTCTGGCGGCCGCGGTGTGCAGGGCGGGCGAAGCGGGCTCGGGGGCATTTTTCGTAAAGTCTGCTGCCAACCACATCCTGTCTGGTGGGGATCAGCAGCCGACGACCTACCCCGCGGCAGGGCCCGAGCTAAACGGCGTTTCGGCGATGTGGTGGACCGTTTTCGTTTTGATATCGTTTTGCAACACAGGCGGAACGAAGGCAGACCGAGGGAACACGAAACAAGAGACAACGGGAAACATTGTTCAGCTCGTGCCCTACATCTCGGTGTGCGATATCCCCCACCGTTTGCCCGCCCGCGCCGCAGCCAGGAGCGCCCGTCGTCAACGCCTTCCGTCGCCTGCGACAGGGCAAGGCAGGGCCGGGGTCAGCACAGAGTAAGGGGATGGAGGAAACCGATTGCGGCCAAGAGCGAAGGGGGATGAAGACTAGGGGGGGTGGATATCATGGCCATGGCCATGAGGTCTCCCTGGGTCTCATTGAACCCTCGTTCGAGCATTTGCATCGGGCCATGATTTGCGAGCCCCTTTTTCGGGCTCCCCCGTGGAAAGGCGTCCGTTGCCTCCTTCATTCCGTTCCGATCGAAGTTGTGAGCACGTTGTTGCAGTTCGTAGTGCATCGCCGCTTTCTCGGCCGCGCGTCGTTTCACATACCTCCCTGTCTCATGTCGGGTGGCTGCGTTGCACTCGTTTTGCTCAGCTCGGGGCTCGATGAGTCTGTCGTTTCCGTGATGCGACCCTATTCCATTTTGGATATGTTTTGTGTTTGCTCCGTTTTCGGGTTCCAAGGCCGTGGGATGTTCAACAACATGGGTCGTGATGGAAAGCTGATCTTGGAGGAAGCCGCAGGGGCCAGGAACCGTTTCATGCAGGATTTGTCTCCTTCATGCCAATTGGGAGGGGGGGGCACCTTCGGCGGCTGAAGGCGGCTCTCGGCAGTCATCGGCGGCCTTCGGCGATTGGGGGGCCCGCGGAAATCTGGAGGTGACAGAGGACGAGTAATCCCAGACTTCCAGCGCCACGACAGGTTCCGATTTTGTCCGCTTTGGGAAGCCTAGTTCGGGCCGTGGAAACGCCAGAAACGACCGGGAATTAAAAAACGGAGCCCAGGGACAGGATCGATGGTGTTGGGGGTTGGGGACCACGTCGTGGACAAAACACATGCCCCACTGAGATGCTTCGTGGGTTTGCTGAGGCTTATAAGGTTGAGCTAAAGCTTAGCGAACATATGAAAGGTTTATCGGAGGTTTAGCAACAACGGAGCTATGAGTGGCCGCGCATGTCGGCACACGCGCACTCCAAACAGCACGCATGCTTCTGCAGTTTCGTATAAAGCATGGTGTTCGGCGCATCAGAAATCATCGCGCCCCTGCCTGATACTCCACCCACCCCGATCTTTGATCAAGTAAACTCACACCTCCTCTTCTTTTATCTCCTCCTCCTATTCCTCCTCCTCCTCCCTCGCCCAAGCGGTCGCCATTGCTGCCTCCCCTCCCCCATCCCCTTGCCCTTCGCCCGGACGATCGCAATCGCTGCCTCCTCCATCCCCCCTCGTCCTCCAGCTCTCGCGACAATGAGCCCGCGGAGCTATTGCGTCAGTTCTGCAACTCTCGCGACCATGCGCCCGCGGACCTATTGTGTCAACTCGTTGCCGATGCCGCCGTCGTCGCCGTCGCCTTCGGCCTCGCCATCTGTCGCCTTCGTCGTCGTCGTCGTGCTCCCGCGGTTTTGTTGCGTGAATGTAATGGGTTGATCGCTGGACGCGAGGAAGGAGGAGGGAGGGGGGGAGGGGGAGGAGGGGGCGGAACAGGAGGAGGAGGAAAAGGAGACGGAGGAGGAGGAGGAAAAGGAGGAGGAGAAGGAGGAGGGGGAGGAAAAGGAGGAGGAGGAGGAGGAGGACACGCCAGGTGCACGAGCCTTCTCTTCCTCCCTCCTCTTTTCTCCTCCTCCTCGTGGTCTTTGCCTTCAGCCGCGATGGCTTGGGCGCGCGCGTTCGCGTGGGCATCGTTTCTGGTTGGGCTGTGCGGCGGGGCAACGCGAAGCGTATACGAATGGTTGTTTCCATTGGGTGCAACGCGCGAGCGAATCTCATGCTCACGAAAACTCGAGTGGCAAGATGGCGCCGACGGTTCCGTTCCACTGCAGCCAGTATGGCGTTGGTTTCCCAACGCTCCGCTGGGGAATCTGCTATTTGCCACGCTGCCTTTGATGCGCCATGGGCGCGCTGGTGCAGTTCCATAACTTCCACCATAGACACAGCTTCGCCACCGACATCGCAATGAAACCTCACGCGGGCGGCCAGAATGCCACCGGCGCCATTCAACAGCACAGCACTCCCTTGACTGCATACGCCGCACTGGCCGAAGCGAACGCCTTTGCCAACGTTAATTGGGAGATCGTCGCCTTCCAGTCCCAATGCGTCCATCCTCAGCTGTCTGTTTTTCTCGGGCGTTCTGTGCCCCTGCGCCAAGCCAACGTCGCAATCAAATCTTTGGCTCGTGATCGCAGAAAAGTGATGGGCACCGCGCCCGCCCAGCAACGACATGCTGGCTGATCCCGAAATGTTGGCCAATTCGGTTGCGCGCCTCGCTGGCGCCCCATGCTTCCGCTCAAGGCAACAACAATTGAATAGCCGCTTGTGTTTCTCAAGGGCCTCGGGGAGGTGGGGAAACCAGCGGCATTTCGGCGTTGACCATTTAAACCCGAAGGCAGCAGTACACGAATCTAAAAACTGATGAACGCAACCCAGAAGCCTTGCTGGGCTCGCGCTGATCCGACTGGCTGCCACCACCAGCTGCGATAGTTGAACACCGGAAATCATCGCGTCGCAGCTGCATTGTCTGAACCCATGGGTCGCAAGACTGTTTGCGTGGACAGCATCGGCGCGCCCAGAATAGTCAGCCAATCAGACGCGTGGCATTTTATGGGTGTCGCCTGTCTGTGTTTGTCTTTCCGATCAGCACCAATAATGCCTGCCAAACCCACTGCGTGGAACCTTCCAGGGGACTTCCCGTTTGCCTAGGAATCAGAGGATGCTTCCCAGATGGCGTGCCCTGGTGGCATAAATGACTTCGAACGTCAAATGCGTCGCGAGATTCACAGCGCCGTCGACAAACAGCGCGTGCATATGGCCATGCATAAACACCCGCTGGATTTATCAGCCTGTCTAAGGTCCTATCCAGCAACGAGACCCGCTTAGCAAACGTCAAGCCCAACGTTTGCTGCAGCAGCGCGAAATCACCATTGGACGAAGTCGCTGACATACGTTCCAAATATGACACGTGGCGTTCGCGCGAAGCCCATGGTCTGTGGACGCCACGAGCCCACCGAGATGCGTTTGATTGCAACGCAACATGGCTGAACCGTCCTCGTCAACAACCATCGGATCATGCGTGGGCATGTTCTTACGCAGCATGGGAAACACGGGCGCACCGTCGCCCCCTGCTTGCCGGACTGTTTCGTGTGCGCCGCCGTCTTGCAATGCCGCGCCCACTTCAGCGAGCGGCCTCAAGCTATCCCCGTCTAAGTCAAGAGCCATGCCGCCGCCTTGGAATTGAAAGCCATCCGGCTTGATAGCGCACTGGATAGCCTCGGCGAGCGCTTGGATTCACGCAGCAGAGAGGGAAGGCACAGAACGGGAGAATTCAGTCACCAACGCAAAGTCGCTCTCTGCGCGACTGAGCGCGCTCACGCCAAATTCCAAGTTCCAGTATATATATATATATATATGTTGGAACTTTATGTCGAGGGTCCCTGGGGTGACTTCGCCGGAATACAAAATCAACTTCAATTTTTTTTTGTTTTTCTTTCTGGCGTCGGCGGGTGAAGCATCAGTTGGCACTTCAAGAACTTCCGAATGTTTGCGCTCTCGTCTGCAGGCGCCGCCACGGGCGCGAACGGGCAGGCGATGGGCGTGCTAAGCTGGCTCTTCCTCTGCGTCGATACACGTGAAGCACTGCAATTTAGGGCCATACTGGCCGACAGTCGTGGCAGCGGCATCCCTCGCGGCCCGCATGGAATTTCGATCCATGACGTCTGGGGGCCCATGGCCCCTCGCGCCCCCCCTACATTGCAGCCAACGCAGAAGCTGCGCAGCGAGGCTCGGCGCGACGGAGCTCATTCAGCCCGCGCAGCTTCGCAGCCCGCGTTGGCTCCATCTGCAGCGACGCCAGGCGCTGCAGGGCCCGCTGAGCGAAGTTTGCCGCGGACGGGGGCGCCAGCACTGGCTTCGGAACAAGGATGCGCAACTGACGACGCGACGAGCAGACATGCTTTTCTTGAGACAGACCTCGCGGCTCGCAACCCCCTCGAGAGCCAGGTGCCAATTTGCACGCAGCGCGCCGTGCTTGTAAGTTCGGCGAAAAACCCGGCGATGTGAAAGTTGAATCACGCATGTCTCGCCCAACCTTAGCGTCGTCGATCGCCTGCGCTGCTGCAGCCCGCGCCTCAGCGGTCGGCTGAGGCCCGCCCCGTGCCTTGGAACCCTCGGAGTTAGCCCGACCAGCCCGCGCGGCTTCGGGCGCGTTTTGAGAGCCACTCTCGTTGCCCACGCCCTTCCCCCCGCCCATGGCCATCGTTGCCGAGCGGCGACCCGATCCCGAGGCGAGCGACGGGGGCGGCGTGGAACGCGCCGCCAGGGTTGGGGGGCAAGGGGGGGGGGGGGGGGCGCTGGGAGTTGGGCGCGGGGGCGGTGCGAACATCATCCTTCAACTATCGGCTGCTACATCCGAGCGGCGGCCAGAGTCTTCCATCGCGCAGAAGGGGGCGGGTGATATCGACGAGTGCGCGAGGAGAGGTGGGAGGGGGGCTGTCGCGCGGGCGGCCCAGGACGTTTGCGCCGCGGTCCTCGGGCCACGCGACAACAAAAAGAAGCCCCGAGAGGTCGCGCTAAGGCGCTACAAAATGTTGTCGCGCCCCCTTAGCGGACCCCAACACAGACCAACAACGATGTCGCAACATGGTTGGGAGGGTGCACGCGTGACTCGACGTGCCCAAGACACCCGACGCATCTTCGTCGTTGTCGCTAGCGAAATCACTTTTTTTCATGCGGGGGGGATCATCGGCGCACCAACGCCCGTTAACAATCCCGACGAAGCGGCGTTCTGGCTGGCGGTGGTTCGCGAAGCGTTATGAATCGCTGCGATTTCCGAGGGTACGGCAGCGCTTGACCTTGACGCTCGCGTAGATGATGCCTTGTTTGTAGACCGCTGGCCGGGGATTTGAACCATCCTTTGGCAACGACGGCTTTGCACTCATTATGTTAGACATCCGGATCGGTTTCAAGTCGGCATCTTTGGGCATGTCCACGCCCTTTGCAGCCTCGGCAGGCTCGACCTTCGCAGCCTTGTCTGGCATGGCGGTAGCAGCGGCTGCTGCTGGGCGTTTCCGGGGCGGCGCCTCGGCCATGACCGCAGGTGCCGTGCCTTTCTTTGTTTCAGCAGCCTCCTTCGAAGGCTTTCGCCTTCGCTTCTTCCCTCTGCTTAGCCTTGCGCTTCTTGAGGGATCTGATCGCAGCAGGGGCGCGCAGGTCCAGGCCTTCTCCACGCGTCCGTCGTCAGCATCGGCGGGGCCGTGCTCAGCGCCAGCGTCGGAGGCGCGCTCAGCCTCAATCGCGTCTTGCTCCTCATGTTTAGGTTCTGGCTCATGCTTGACAGGTGGCTCAGGTTTGCTGTCTGCGAGTACCCTATCAGCAGCGCGGTGGATAGCCAAGCCGCTTCGCGGCTCGGCTGCGAAGCGAGGCGCTGCAGGGCCCTGCGCAGCCGCTTGGCTTCTCCTTCTTGCGGTGCTCGAGCAGCTTCTGCTGGTGCTCGTCAAACAATTCCATCTCGAACGGGCCGGTCGGTGATGCAGCGAGCGCCCCTGCTGGTGATGCGCCGCGCGCATGGGCTGCGGGCGCTGCGACGTCGCGGCTGAGAGCGCAGCCAATCTCTTCCTTTGCTTCTTGAAACTTGAGCTTCACGTCTGAGTCGAGAGACGCTTTCAACAGGCCCTTGTTGGAGCGTAGCGGGATCTTGTCCGCGATTGCGTTTATGCCCTTAAGCTCAATCTTGGTGGATGTCGGCCTGGAAGATGTCGGGTGGAAGCTCGGATGGCGAAGCTGGGTTTTCCATGGTGCGATCAAAGCAGGTTTTTTTGTTTTGAACG